TTACTATTTTTCTATGAAAATAGAAAAATTGTAATATATTCTACAAATGCCCACCAGATGGTAGTATTGATTTACAATTTCAAAGATGCACTTTTGTTTTAGACGGTCCAGTGCTACCGTTTTTAACATGATGCTGATGTCCTGTTTTCTTGTTCTGCACAGTACAGGCAAAAAAAATCTAAAACGCATTCAATAAAAAATGTTATACATTTTTATTTAGCTTTAAAATAAGAATAGAGGATGCACAAACGTAACAGTGCATGTGTGAAAGCCCTGGCTGAAGCAATCGATACAGAAAATAAATTGAATCAGAGTGAAGGATACACTCAATAATGCTATTGATTGGGCAGTAAGTACTTTAAATGATATGTTGTGCCATTCTGCTGAGCATGGCACTATTCATTGTACACAGTCATCTAAAGTGATGAGGTTTACTAAGGCTGGCAGAGTGATTTCCTCCCTGCTCACATTTACATTGAAAGAGTCATCCTGCATTTGCACAAGGTTTGGGCTGACTCCCCAGTTACAGCCTCCCAGCAGCTGATCACTGAAGTGAATGCATTTCTCTGTAAGTAAAGCACACAAGTGTATTCCTTACAGAGAGATATCCCGTCTTAAAGTGGATATGGAATTTGATATTATGAGGTTAAAACAAATCTGTTGTTCTAATACAGAGAAAACCCTCTATGCTCAGCTCATTCCTTTGAGCATTATATCCTCTTATGTCAAGAGCTGTGTTGTAAATGATGGAAAACACATGTAATAAATAATGCATCTTTGCCTGGACTCAGTTTTCCATCGATCTGTTACAGATGCTGCAGTTAAGCTTGGCTTCTGTTGAGGAACGACTATGACCATACAGTATACTGTAGTGTGCTAATTTCACTTAAAAAATACTTCTGGCTGTTTCAAATGTTTCAATTTTCATGTCCATTATTCAGTGTCAATCAGAAAGAAATATAGTAGTGGAATCTTACAGACTCCAGGTACTGTAAGAGTACAGCTTATAAACTTGAAAAGTAAAACTGGAATCTTTAGTGTGATTCAAAGGAAATGTAATACATTTTACAAAAAAAAAACAAGAACAAATGTAACCTTATTGGGTTAATAATAATAATAAAAATACTGCAATGACCGACTGTGTTCTACCTACTGTACCACCCTCAAGGTGGTACCTACTGTACCTCCATCTACCTAACACTATCAAAACTGGAGACTGTCCACCGTATAAGATCTCGATATAAAGAAATCTCTAGTCTCTTATGTAATTGGACTTCATTCCTGCATGTTACCAGATATCTAGGGAGGCAGAGGGTGAAAGAGTACTCTGAATGGCTGCCAACAGTAAAACAGTGATGCAGATATGGAAGAGAATAGTCATTAGAATGGATCTAGAATACTCTGGTTGTTTAGGGCCTACAACATTTTCTTCAGAAATGAATATCTGACAGCATGTTAATTACAAGAACAGATATCCTTATAAACGAAAGTGTGACATCATGTTCTGAAGAGTTAATAGAGTGATGAAGGGCTCTGACAGGCATTATGTTTTCAAAAGCATGACTTTCACATTACCGAAATTAATGTACTGGGGGGATGAACAAGAAAGGGAGAAATGAGCAACTGCTCAATCCCCTTCACTAATTATCATTCTGGCGTTTTTTTCACAATTACCTTCAAGGATTCTCCATGCAGAGCCCTCCTTCCTCCCTCAGTGTGATTGACATGTGAATCTCTGTCTAATGTTTTATTTGATCTAGCCACAGAGAAGATGTTTTGTAAAGCCATCATTGAAAAAGGGTATTAGTGTAATGCATCCTATTTAGGCTGAATCAGACCTGGCCTTGCATATCACTTTTTAAAATAAAAAATAAGAACCTAAGAAAGGTAAAGAATGTGAACAGGCCATTCAGCCAATCTTGCTCCTTGATTGGTAGTAGCTTATCAGTCCAAAAATCTTATCCAGCAGTTTACAGAAGGATTCCTAAAAATAAGTCCTTAAAAAAACGTAAAAATAAGTACTCCGACTACTCTTTTAAGCGTGTAAACATTTTCCCTAAAAGCCAGAAATATTTTTTAAAAATCAATGTGCCTCAAGCCTCTGTTGAAAATGGTAATTTTCTACAATTACCTACAGTATCTTGTTGGGAACTACAATAGGCTTACATGTACTTGGAAAAGAAAAACGAGGAAAAATGAGACGATAATTCATTCATTCACTTGTGTACCATGTATTTTAAAAAATAATAAGCTGTTTTGGAAAGTATAGTGTATTATGAGTAGCATCAAGTGAGCAGAATTTACATGTGTACAATAGCTATTTATTGAAGATAATTATAGCCAAATAAATTGCATGGGAAACCTTGTGAGAATGGAAGATGCAGTTGATGAGGTATCACTAAAGGTGCCCAGAGTTTTGGCCTCAACCACCTGACTAGGAAGCCTATTTCCAGACATGAATTTGAATTCCCAGACTCACAGTTGAATTCTTTGAGTAAAGATGTGACCTAAAATATTTCCCCTTAAGGTTTCAGTTGTGACTTTGAGGTATTGTTACACAATTAGGATTCTATACACTGTACCTGGATACGTCTGCATTGTAGAACTTTATTTCCCTGGATTTAAATTCCACACATTTTGTTACTGTATATACTGTATCTAAGCATGTGTTTCTGTGTTTGTCACTGCCCATGTTTTAGCATCATCAGCAATTTGACAGGTTGCCTAGTCAAAAGCTATCTTAATAATATGTCAACCATCAGATGAACAAATACATTACTGTTGGAAAGTGCATTCCGAGGATATGCTCTTAGCCTCCCCTCTGCTATTGTCACCAGCTAAATGTTTTCTCCTAGGGGAAGTAAAAATGACTCCCAAACCATGACATACATGTACTGTATAAATAAACTGTTGTTAAGAAATGTTAATGAAGCCCAATTAATCTGCTCATGGGTCAGCGTCTCAGACAAATGAATACAATGAAAAACATGCTATTTATTAGATGAGTATCCTTATAAACATAGATAATACAAGGAATACACAGATACATATTTGTTTCACTTGTATTTTCTTATACGTGTCATAAGTTAAAAAACACAAAAATAAAAATAAATACTGTAATAAAAAAAAAATAAATGATTTTCCCTTCATACAGACTCCGATTTACAGTACCAGCATATGGGATGCATTATATAATACAGCTGCGATTATAAAGTGACAGTTTAATAACTGGGACTGTTTAAATACAGCTGACTTGACTGAAAATAATTGATTTCCACTGGTGGTTTCTTATGACCTCCTAAACTTATTTTATTTTCTTAATATTCTGCAAAGTGTACTGGGATTACACTGCATAAAGCAGTACATTTTGCCAAACTTAAAATAAGAACTAATGTCAAGCTCTAGAAAGCATGTCTAATGAGTTTAATAGGAAGAAAGCCGATTCCCTAAACCAAAAATTGTGTCCTGTCAAAGTTTGTTTCACATGAAGTTTCTTTTAAGACACAGACACACAATGTCTCTTAAATGACAGATTATGGTTTGGAAGAAAGAAAAATTCTACTCATGGCACAGACCAAGGAATAATGGTGGTATGGTGGTGCATGACAAGCCTAATTTGAATAGGTGCTACACTAGTTATTACTTTTGTGGCTGCCTATACTTGACAAGTGCAGCTCTCCCTGCCTTTGTTGGGATTAAATCCTGGTTGCATGTGGGCTTCAAGGATGTACAATGCCAAATAACTCTTTCATGCCAAAGGTCCAGTTCCTCTGTTGTGGTAGAGTTTTACGCTGTCTACATTTCAGAGGGGGTGGCGACACATCTGTATCTGGTTTAGAAGTATAAGACTTACAGTACATATACAGTACATATTGAAAAGAAAGGGATAACAAGAGGTATATTAAAAACTTTAACAGAGTTTTATTTTAACAGACCCCACTGAACTCTTCACAGAAAGCACAAAAAGCTGTAAACCGAACAAGATATTCATATGCAGTGCATATAGAGCATGTGGACAATTTCACAGAGGAATCTGTAACCCAGGGGCCTCTTTCACCAATCCATTGGGAAGGGAAATCCCAGTCCGAAAACAGCTCCTAAAAAGCCCTGCTACTGTATGTGTCCTTTCAGACCCAAATACAAAGAGAAGGAGTAGAGGGGCTCTCTGGTGATGTGTGGATGTTTAAGAGCAAAAGCAACAGACGAGCCATATTGAAATAATACTGTTGGTTAAAAATATGTCTCCCACAATAACAGCATGGAATTAGGACAGCCCTAAGAACTCAGAAAATGTTCAATACAATTATGATAGACTTCTTGTTTTTCGGGGGGAACTTGTTACTCATCAATAAGCTGCACATCTATCTTCACCATCACTTTCTATAATACTGTATAACTATAAAAAGTGAAATAAATAGAAGGCTTGCTCTCATTTCTTATGTACTGTACTTATAGTATCTTTGCACAGTCCAGCTGTCAAAGTCTGGTGCCATTGCTCATGTTACTATCTTTTAGGGACCGTTTCCCAGACTATGACGAATTGTTTCTTGATATATATCTTTAAATCAATTTGTAAACGTGTTTACTATCATACAGTAGTTGAAGTGGTTTACTTGCTTCACCAGTTCTTCTTGAATTGGCCTTTGTTTATGTACAGTAAATGTTATGGCAAATTTGGCCTCAGAGTAAATTAATGTGTATCTGAAGTGTATTATCGTGTTCTTGGGAATGTAATCTGGAATTCCCCCTGCTAATGCTAATGCATCTTTTGAGCTTTTTCCATTTTGCTTATTTATTTTGTGAGTTTTGGTTTGCTGCCTAAATATGAAAAATAATTTTATTGGCAAATACACATCTACATTAATCACTGTTGCTATGAACAGGTTTTAAAAAATACAAGATATTAACACTGCTGTCAATAGACAATATGCCCCTCAGGGTCTCTGTAATAACTTGGGAAGAAACCCTGGCAAGCATTAAATTATTTTTATTTTAAATTAGAATATTACTACTAGGGAACAAGTAATAGGTTTATTCCATGTTGAAAAGAGAAGAAAGAAAACATAATGTTTAGGCTGTGGAGCCTTCTTTGGGTGTGACACCGAAACGTTGTGTTTTCTCTCTTCTCTTTTCAGCATGGAATAAACCTATTACTTGTTCCTTTGCAGCCTACGCATACTGACGCAGCTACCCAACTGAACGACTTCATATTACTACGAGTCTCCAAATACTGTACAGTATATGCAACTTGTCCTTATCATGGACACATAACTTCCATGTATTTGTAGAGTGTCAATGTATACAGTAGGTTTTGGCAAGGATGTTTATCATGCAAAAAGGCATACATTTCAAGTCATCAAAGAGGCAAAATATAATTGATATTATTACAAATAAATGATAAATACAGACCTTGTATAAGGTTGGTTCATTGCATCAGGTTAGAAGAAAAAAAAACTGTTTCCACAGTTTTTTGAAAATTAGTCATTCAAATTAGTTTAGAAAATTCAAATTTTCAAATTGGTTGAAAACTAGTCATTTTCAATCGCAGTTAGAGAGTATTCCCATATTAGTCAGCTTAAATGCACAACCCGGTTTGGATTGATGTTTCCTACATTATTGTAGCTGAATTATTTTTATATAAAAGAACCATTAAAAACACTTTAAGGATATTCCAGTAGGATAACTAATTTAAAAATGGGATCATCGTTCAACTACTGTAAAGCTCTTTTGAATCGCATTGTAGAATGCCATTTTAGTTAACATTAAACTAAATTCTTTGAATTTTATTGTTTAGGTCTGTTTATGTATGCCTGAGCCTTTTTCATGGGAAGCTGTACAGTAGGTAAATGTCTTTTGTGATACAGCCTTTATTGTGACACACTGTGCAGCAAGGATTCTTCTCAGAGAACTAGAAGTAATAAAGCAGACACATAAATGATTTAAGTTTCTTAACAGTACTAGTCAGATGGAACATTACTCTTTTTAAATTATTTAAGCTGCAGAAATTGAACATTTAAGAGCTCAGCTAGTTGAGAAAAGTGAGGGGGTTTAGTTTCTGAGCGTAAAGTGAGCCTGTTAAGGGATACTCGCTGGCAGAACATGGTGTTCTACACAGATGAAGGCAATGAGAGGATGGATTAAACAAACACAAACAGAAAAGATGGGGAAGCACTTTCAGAGGCTTACCTTGTGCTATAAATGGTGTACTGTCTTCCTTGACCGGAGATGCATCAGGTCTTGGGGTTGGGGCAGGTGGGCGGTTAATTATTGACATTGATTTGTTTGAGACCAGAATCGTATCATACTCTTCATCATTGCCTCCAAGGGGAGCATAAGGATCTTCATCTTCATCTTCATCTTCATGAACATTTTCTTCTTCTGTTTTTTGTTGAATATCATCTCCATTGTTGTTTTCTGACCCCAAAATGCAAATTTAGTTAGGGTACAAGCGAACATGAACAAATATATACAGTATATACTGTATATTAGATAACAATGTTAAGACAGTTGCAGCATTTACAGTATATCATCCATCCAGTTAGTTTTTGATTGAAACAATTATCTCAAGGATTAAAAGGAAGTGATATTTGTCAGTATATACAGTACAGTATTTAAATAATGTACATTTGTTAATGTGCTAAGTGCTAAATTTGTAACACGCTGTGCGCAGGTCTGTTGCTTTCCTGGTATAAGTATACATTACTGTATCACATTTACTGTATAAGATGTTGTAGGATTCTTAAAAAGCAGAGACTAAAGAAGTTGTTTGTCAACTACTCATGGATGAAAAACATTACAGAATAAGGATGTGGTGTTCATTCCCTGTCCCTAATGCATCAAACACAAAAAGAAAAACACAATAGTTAACCTACAGTGTGCATTGCAGTCTTTTAACTAGGGCTCTGAGTGACCACTTGTGTTCTTTTAACTTGGACTCTGAGTGACCACTTGTGTTCTTTTAAGTGGACTCTGAGCCTCTATTTTAGTTTGTTTTTATGTATATATTTCATGTATAGATATAGAATTTGCTTGAATATTCCTAGAATTGTTGTAGTTGTAGGGGTTTTGATTGTGTTTTTGTCATCTCCTGTTTGGGAGTGGGTTGCTATTGTAGAGATGGATGGATGGGGGTGGTTGGCTTAGTTTTGCTCTCATTTTCAATTACAATTTTTTGATTGTTGATAAAAATAATTATTAATATTTAGAAATAAGTAATTAAGACTCTTAGTACCCACTTGTATTCTTTTAAATATGACTCTGAGTGAGCAATTGTGTTCTTTTAACTAGGACTCTAATTAACCACTTCCATTCTGAAGCTTTTTATAAAATAATATTATTGTTTTTATTACCTAAATTGAAATATTTACTGTATGATGCACTTACTTTCATGATTCGCAGGGTCCAACCCCGTCAGCCCACAAATATTACTGTCTTCATTTTCTTCATTTCTGCTGCTCTGTGTCATATCCTACAATGAGAAATAGGCTCTTAGATACAAAAGCATAAATGTTGCTTTAATAGCACAACCTGCATTACTGGGGACATTTCTATGGAGCTTTACAGCAAAGTACACTGTTAATGCTTTTCTGTTTCCTAAGTACAGGTGCTTAATTGGATTAACTCACTGAATACCAAGCCTTGCAAAAAAGAAAAACACAACGAAAAAATCCAGGGACAAATGCTTCCAAAGCATTTAGGTGACTCAGGCATGACAAGAGATTCAAAAATACACAGAAGGTCAAATGAAATGTATCAATCTATGCATTTATGTTTGTGTAAAAATAAAGTATACAGATTTTGGATTTAATTACATGTGATTGGTGTCATTTTAATAAACTGATCATTCAGTGTGAGATGATTTGCTGAGTAAAGGTGAAGGTGAAGAGGTGACCTAACTCGCAGAATTCCAACCCTTGTAAAAATAAAAAGGGAATAACACAGAGAGGGGGCCAAGATTGTGAAGAGAACAGCACGTCTGTGCCAACATGGGAGCCAACTACAGTAACAAGGCTGACGCAAACATAAAGAATGATAATTATTTGTTTACAATATAGACCAATGAATAAGGAGGTTCCGGTGTAATGGACTGGACAGAAGTCCAGTTCAGAAGTTCAGTTCAGAACTCCTCTTGAAGTGAAGTGCTGGGATGTCACTGACATCCTGTGGAATCATCCTAACATGACAACAATCCAGCAGGACAATGCATGCCTTCCTGCAGCTCATGTAAAAACATGTTCTTAAAAGTTGTGAACATTAGCTTTGGAAACACATGGCTTCTATGGCTCAGAGACCTGTCTGTTACTGGCACATGCTTATATCCCAACCAGCATTTATCCTTTATCTGTGTTCTTTGGTTTTCCATTTATTAACCAATTCAAAGTCCAGATACATACTTCCTTGAATGCCTACCACTGGTTTGAAAGTTAATCTTATATGAGGAACTTCTCCAAACACTTTCTAAATATACCAAATACCAAATATACAGTACCATCATATGCACTGTTTCTTTCCATTCCTGCTGTTGCTTCATTCAAACTTCAAATTGGTTTATAATTAATTACATTTTGTCACCCTTTTTATGGAAGGGTGCTTCATGTGCGACTTTTCACTCAAAAGTAACTACCTCTATCTTGAGTGAGCGTTGTAATAGATTTAGAGGCCTATGCATAAAATATTGTTTCCTTATGTAGAATACAACTAGTTCTTGTAATAACTATGACTTTTCTAGGCTAATATTATTTAACTTGTCCTTGCTGCAAACAGTAGAATTAATCTAATATGTATATTGTAATGCAACGGGGGCACAATATGCATGCAATTTAAACATATTTTCCCAAAAATCTTATTTGGTCTAAGCTTAAAATATTCAGTTAACCTTTAATCAGTTCTAGAATGACATTAATTGCCAACCAGTCTTTCCTCCCCTTTATGTTGACTCTAAGACAGAAATATATTTATTACAGCATAGTGAGCACAAATGAGAACAATATTCCAAGTAAAGTCTAAAGAATACATTGTGCAATTTCAGCCCTGTATTTGAATTCTATGATTTTCATTAATTAAAATAAACATTTTACTTCCTTTGTTTTCCTTTGTTCACCAGGTTTTCCAGAACTTTAAGGGCCATACAAATGAGAAAGAATTTAGAACTATAAAATACCTGGTCCAGTTTTGTTTCTGTACTGGTGAGCGTCAGTTCAACTATTTTCCAGTCGGTTTTCTTAAGCGTTTTGAAACTCCCTTGTTAATAATATGTAAATAATACCTGTCATTTCTCTGAATGCAATTCACATACTGTATTTCATTTAGCCAAAGGCAATTGGCTTGAATTAAGCATTCTTAGTTTGTGCAGCACCTAGTTCTCTGTTTTAGTTATCTGGTAGTATTACTCATAACATCAGGAGTCTTTTTTTTTAGCTTAAGGCATATTAATTTCTTCTCATGTAAAGACCACTGCAACCAAATTGTTCACTGCATTTATTTTCATCTCTGAGAATTCACATAATTTGCTCACACAGTTCAATAAGACTTTGAAAATAAGACAGTGAGGCCATTACAGAACATTAAAAATTGTAGAAAAAATACTATATTGCCATGGATCACTAGCATCACATAATAAAGTATAGCATGATTGTATTACAGGAAACTGTTAGTAGAAAGTGGTAGCTGGCACATTTCTGATCATGTAGAATGGATTTTTCTGTCACACTCATCTTCCATGATGAATAAACCCATCTGTATTAGACATACGATACCTGTTGCTTTAATATGTTACAGTATACGCATAGGAGATGAATACAGAAATGAAAAAAACTCACTTCTCTGAAGTGTAGTGTCCAAATCAATTAGAGACTCAAATGTGACTGTCTACAGTTTCCCAACTTATACTGTAATTTCATTTAATAAGTTCATGAGAAATAAATGTCAACGATCTGTTACCTGACACACATTGACCTGGGCACTTTTCAGGAGGAGGCCTTTTCCTCACCTTTGTCATTTGCACATACTGTAGAATTCCCTCAGTAATCTTCAACCTACAGGTACTGTATGTTGTACAGGATCCTTGTCTCTTAAGCTACTGTATATTCATTTTTCAAACACCAAACTGTTAAAAATATAGGACCAAGTTTTATTTTCTAACTTTGAGAACTCAACTAGATGTCAGCACTTACTAAAATTAACTTATTTTATTACACCCCCATGTATAATTCTTTATCTATATGGGAATATGATATGCCATGTCATCTATTGAAGCCGGTTTACTGTATTTTCTGTGGTATCTGTGTTATTTAAATCACCCTGTAAAATTCTTAATTTTTAAAGACAAACTCTATATATTACAGATGCTTTATACTGTACATCATCAATTATGATGTATAATGAAAAATGGAGCGTCGGTCTATATACTGTATATATGCAATGTGTATCTGAGTGGTCTGGAGTGCAACGTGGTGGTCAATATTTCTGTAACCTTCTGTGCTTGACAATGCTGCACACATATTTACAGTACATATGAAATATGATGTCACCCCATATGTAGGAGAATCATGATTCTTCTTTTGAAAAGAAGAAAATCTGCCCTGTCAAGATGTAATCAAAATTTCAGGTCTTCATATGGTAAATCTAAAAAGTAAGCCCAGTCCTCTGTGTCATCTTATGTAACTGAAATAAACAACCATGTGTAATGATGAGACAAATATAATAATACAATCTTATTCATGATTGCCTTTCCAGAACCCGAAAGCTCTGTACAATACCACAGATGTAGCATATTATGACAAAAGAACAAAAGAAATAAAACAAACTGAAACCAGGAGCCGGACTAAATTACGTATTCAAATATTTCGGAAAAGATACATCTTTAACTATGGAAAATGTTGACAGTCATATCTGAGTCTCTTACTGTATGAATTTGGGCACTAAACTCCAGAGATTCAGGTCTGCACATGAGAAGACTATCACTAGTTAAGAAGGAGTGAATCTGCAGATCTAAGGTTTATAACTATACTACACTTGAGCAGTAAGTCCTAAAAATAATTTGGAGCTAGACAATTCACTTACTTATAGATAAATGGGAAAACCTTTTAGTCCACTCTACTGTACATTTCACAAGGTATGTTTTGCAAAAAATGGGAGTTATGTGCTGATGCTTAGTAATTTTAATTAGTCCATTGAATTTGGAACATATCATGCCACAGTATTTAGTACCTTAGAAGATGCCCCGATGGCACTACAGTAGTTTAATATTTATTAAGTAAAAACATATAGCATTATTTTTGTTTCAGACATGCAGTGTATAAGCCTTAACCAAAGAATGTTAACCAGCTGTAAGAAATATGCCTTCAGTCCAGAAAAAGAAGGATATGAAGTGATACAGAGTCAGAAACCATCAACAAAGAACAAGAGACAGTTCTCCTGCCAATCTCGTCTTGGGGTGCAAATACAGTATGGCACTTGAGTCTTTCCTTCCCAGTACCCCTTCACCAACCCCTCTGCCACCTCCAATGCTGTGACACTTGGCTCTTTTTGTAGGGGATTGTGAATGCTACAACCACAAGACAGACTGACTGACCTGCGTTAAGAAACATACATTTTCTTTTTATTGAATGCACATTCATTACTTGTCGGGTTACTGTTTATCTTCTGAATTAATTTTTTATGTTGGAAATGAAGAGCTCTCTTGTACACAACTATACAAATAAGCACAGAATTTACTGATTTAATTTAAATCTTAGAATAAAAATCTGAATATACTGTATAATGCATTAATGTTGCACTGAGTTGGCATTAAATTTGAAAATAAGAGGGTGTCATGCTTTGGTGTTCTAAGTGACAAGTTATTGATAGCAATGTGATTAGAAATGGCAGAAGACTAAACAAATTCATACACTGTCACTGTGCAAGGAAAATAACATAGTGCCAATCCCATCTATTCAAATATTGAATTTATGCAAAAAAAATACCATAATAAATATTGAAGCGACTCATGACTGCAAAGCTGTTTTGAGTGCTTTCATATAAACCAATGGAAAATGTTTTCACATGGCATCTACTGTATCTAAAAGATTATCTTTAGCGTCGTGATTTTACAGATCTCAAAATATATGTACAAAATATATGCAAAGCAATATATTTGTGGCTACATAGCTGAGATCACTCATTGAAAATTATTATATCAGATCAATTAACTCAGATAAGATATGTATCAATAGAGCAATACTGTACATTAAATCAGTTTTAGCTCTGGAAGGAGCACACTCTACTAAATCTCTGTTTTCTAAAAAAAACTGAAAAAAATGGTCTGAAGCTGCAGTTTCACCAACATGAAATGTTGCATAAGCTTACAGTTTAAGGGGGTTAGCTGTGGTGATGTGGGTAGTGTTGCTGCATCTTCTACCCCCAAATTCACATTAGATTTCTCCATGTCTTTGTTTTCCTTCCTGTTTCCAAAAGGCTTGACAAACCAGG